ATAATATTAATGTTAGACTTAACTTTTCATTCCTGGCAGGCTCCTGCTATTCAAAGGGTGTAATACTGATGTGAAGAGAAAGGGAGTTGAAGTGTATCTACACATCCTATGCAAGTCTCCTGCCACCTAAGGGCTCTGTCAACAAAAGCAGGTGCTATAGCCAGAGCGAATCTCATATATCAGAAGGTAATTAATAAGTTTGAGTGGTATGGACAATAGAAACACTGTTCAAGACACATGACAATGTGTCTCAGTTGTGCAGGTCCAGTATTGTAGTTTTACTAACACCTGCTTATTGGTGGACCCTTTTAGACAAGGGTCCCACCAGAGTGTATCTATGTCATTTCTTACAGAGCTTTATGTCCAGAGCTGAGAAATGTTGCCAGGAAAAACGTGGGAGGTCACGAATAGTTCTGGGAGTGTCTCTGCCTAAGCACACATCAGGTGAACGAGGAAATGTCCATGAACATGAAAATACCACTCCAGGCCTTACAGAGCACACAGCAATTGGACGTGTCGGGACTGGAGCAGGAACCTGTCTTTTCCAGCTGGGGCATGTGTGGTTTTTTATTTTTTTAAAAAAAAGTTCCTCTCCACAATGCCCTTGTGAAGATCTAGGTCAAAGCCAAGTTCCTGAGGGTTTTTTCTGGCACTGAAGTGGCCATATGGGTCTACACATCTCATATTGCATTCCCTTTGTCATGTGCACAATTTTTGGATTTGTTTCACATTGCCCTGACTTGAACAACCCTTGTCTTTTTTATCTCCATTGCAAATAAGATCTATTGCTTCAGTCACATCCATTAAAAGCCCATTGCTTTCATTTTAAATTAAACTTTGTATGATCACAAACTGTCCACAGTAACCATGACAGAGATTTCACTGTATCTGATCACACCATTAATAATATTAATTACCAGGAGAATATGAAGAACCTGAAATTCAGTTCAAAGAGCTGCACCACCAGAACAGCAGTCATAACCTGTCAAATGAGGTTGACAAGTCAAGACATCTCTGAGGGAAAAGACACCTTATTTCAATGTTCTGATTTCTCTCTGCATCACAAATGGCTCTTACTGTTTAGCAGTGCCCTAAGCAAAGAAATTAACTCGGTACTAATAAAATGTGTTTCCTACCAGCAGGCCATGAGTTCCATGTATGGCAACACACCTAGAGAAGCAGTGGTGGATAGCCAGGTTATCGAGGTACGTTGGGCGGTCATATCCTCCTCTCTCATCCACATCCTCAGCCATGTGAAAATGCACAGGGTAACTGCCCAGGATTTGCTGCCCCATGTTCTTTAATTCCACTCCTGACATGTGAACAGAACTAAAATTCCTTAGGATCTGTTGAAAGAAGTGTAGGTCCAAGTAAGGCGTTGCAATATAAATAACGTGCTAAAAGAAAAACACTTTTTTTCCCCATTAGGCAATATGTTTGCAGTACAAAACAGGGCCTGATCCCAGAAGGAGGTGCCAGCTCCCTGCTCTGACTCACAGCAGCACCTGTGGAGAAGCATGCTGGCGGCTGCGCACCTACAGGTGTGGGGGTGCCAAGGAATAGCTGCCAAACAGCACGTACAGCATTTAGCAACAGATAACAGCACATAAATGCGTGACACAGCTGTGGACAAAATACTCCTGTCAGCTACAGAAAGGGACAGCACTTAGCAACAGGCTCTATTTCCTGAAAGCTTCATCTCTGTCAAGTGAGTTTAGGTCAGACCTGCCCAGATCTCTGATTTCCACTAATTGGGAATGCATTTATCTTACACAAAGCCCCTGGAACAGCAAAACTTTGCACGTCCACCAGGAACACCTGGGACAACCCAGAGAGGGCTAATCCCAACTGGCAAGACCCAGCGCTTATCTGAGCCACGAGTGGAGCAGGTTTGCTCTGAAGGAAGCACAGCTACTTCAGCAGCACTTTGCGACCTGTGTAACTTCACACTGCCCCTACCAACAGCGATGGAGCTAAAGAACCCCACTAGCCTGGAGAAGGGTATGCTTTGGGATATGCAGAGAACAAAATGGCACAGCCTCATTGTAAGTCTAGTTTTGCAAAATAGGCCAACAAACTTTCCCCACCTTCATAGACAAGTATTATTTTTTTAACCCAGACACAATGGTAGTTTCAAGCTGCATACTGCTCAGTTACAAACCAGGGAAGGAACTACATGAAACAACCTACAGGCACGTGCATTAAAAATTACTCACTTTAATATGTCCTCCAAATGTGTCAAAGGAGAAAAACTGACATTGATTTTGTCCATAGCAGGAGTCTTCCATTTCTCCTTGAATAAGTATATTTCTAGTCAGAAGACCAACCTCTGCCCTCATATCGATGCCATCTATGACTTCTCCGATATGAAGATAAAGTGGGCTGCCTGTAAAAATCAGAAACCTCTTATTCATGGGGAGCGCGGTGTCCTTGTTATTGTGCTGTTCTAGGCAAGTGCACACCTTTCATTTAAGCAGTCACCAAGTTTGGGACGTGCCCTGTGTCTGATCCACAGGAGATCAGCCCTTCCCCTGGCTTCTATAGGGGATGGCTGCCTCAGGCCAAATTTTAAATCCCACTATGATATCAGAGCCTTTCAGCTCTCCTACGACAAGAGTCCACATGGGACTAAACTTAGCTACAGAGATAAGTAAGTGTAAACGTAGAACATAAAAGACACAACAATGTAAGTGTTTACAACAAACAAGCAGTTTAAAAAAAAATCATACCATCGATTTTCACTTGATTATTTTTACATTCAGGGCAGGGAAGGAGATTAAACTCTTCAGCCTGATGCATAGAATAATCTGTGCTGGCAATGACAATCCTGTCACCAGGTAACCAACTTCTAACATCATCCACTAAATGAAGAATTACCCCTTTAGACACTTCCACTTTAAATCCATTATGAGGCACCCCTGAAAAACGAAGCCATCAATTATTTTACAGTTGCACACGACGGAGTCCTACAATTAGTCCAAGTGCTTACCGATTTAATTTTTGTCTCGATAACTGTGTGCAACAGAAGCACTCTGGCCATTAAATATGTCAGTATCAGCTCTTTGTAGGCAGTTAAATGTTACATCACGGGAGTACTGCTGTTAGCATGGTCACCATGCATAAGGGCACAGCTATTACTATCATGGCACAGTTCAGATTTGTAGCCAGCAGAGAAGACTGAGCAAAGCAGCAGAAGGCGAACAACCATGAGGAGCCACTAAACCTTTAATCCATCCACTGAAAGCAGTAACAGTGAAGCGGGTGCCATCGTAGGTCAGGAACTCCCTCTGGGCTACGGCGAGCCCCGTGGTCCCGCTCCCGTGATACTCCCTCTTATCTTCAGCCGTGGAAAGCGCATCCCCTCCGAGGATCCCCACCAGCGCCCAGGGCTGCCTGAAGGACACCAGGAGGGAGCGGTCGGGCAGGCAGCCCTCACACACATCCCCTCCAAGCTCCGGGGCCCGAAGGGGCTGCTCGGAGCCCCGGATTCCCCCTCCCTCTTGCACCGAGCCCCGTCCCGCGCCCCCCGTCGGGGCTCGCCCCGCGCTGTCCCGCAGCCGAGGCGCCGGGCGCGGAGCTGTCCATGGTGGCGCCGCGGGCCCGCCCCGCCGAAGCCCTGGGGGCCGCGAGTTCGAGTCCCGCGCCCGCCGCTCGCCTCACCTGTAGCCCAGCCGGGCGATGTGCTCGCTCCGCAGGCGGTCCCGCAGGAGCAGCCGCGTTTCCAGCGTGAGGCTGCGGGCCGCCGAGTCCCCCACGGCGGCCGCCACCACCCTGCCGGGGGGCTGGAGGGCCAGGAAGGCGAGCAGGCGGCGGCACTCGCCGGCTCGCAGGTGGGTGTCGAAGCGCCCCGCAGCCAGCACCCGCCCCGTGCCGGCGTCGAGGATGCGGAGGTTGAGCCCGCGGCTGCCCCAGCGCTTCTCCGAGGTGTAGCGGCCGTGGCGGAGCCCTCCGGGGTGCAGGGTTTTGTCCAAGAGGCTCCAGGAGCGAGGCCGCCGGCCGTGCAGCTCCAGGACGCCGCCGCCGCCCACTCCCACGAATTTCTGCCCGAAGCCGGCCACGGCCGCCCCGTCGGCGGCTCGCCCGTACAGCGAGATGGTGGCCCGCGAGCCGTAGGGGCAGCGCTCCGAGCCGATGTGCAGCTCCCCGCCGTCCTGGATGAGGATGTAGCGGGCTCGCAGGGTGATGGGCGGCCCGCGGGGGCGGTCGGCGAACACCAGCTTCCCTGGCGGGCGTGGGGAGAGCAGCGGGGTCAGGGGGCTCCCAGCGGCGGGGACGTGAAAGGGGAGACCGGGAGGCGTCCCCCCACCCGGCTGCGTGCGTCCCCTCCATCGCTTACCTCCGTCGCGGATGACGAGGGAGTGGAAGGTAGCGGAGCTCTCCAGGCGCAGAGCCGCCCCCCGGCCCACGACGGCGGCTCGGCGGGTGTCGGAGCCGGGGTGCCACGGGGAGAGGTGCGGGGCGGCCCCCGGGCACGGCCCTGCAACAGACGGGGGCAGCGGCAGCGGCGGCGATGCGCGGCGGGGCGCGGCGGGGGCGGAGGGGCGCGGTACCGACCTGCTGCTGCGCTGCCGCTCGCTGCTCCGCGATGTGTCCCGCGGCGCTGCCGGCACCGGGACCGGCTCCGGGACCGGCTCCGGGTCCGGCTCGAAGGGCAGGGGGAGCCGCAGCACCCCCGGGCTCCCCCCGGCCGCTACCTGCAGCCCGCAGCCGCCGCCCGAACACGTGCGCGGCGCCTGCTCCTTCTCCGCGGCTTTGCACGGAGCCGGCGCCGAGACACATTTTGCTTTGGGCTGTGTTTTTTTTTTTCCCTCCTTTATTTTTTTTTTTCCTCCTCTTAACCTAGCAAGAGCGAAACCAGAAGCAACCTCCTTTCCCCCGCTCCGCACGCAGCGTGTGACAACCCCGACAGCAGGACGAGCGGGGAGCCGGCGAGGAGAAAACCCCAGCGGCAGACGGACGAGAAGCACCGGCGAACTCCGGCCGGCGAAAAGACCTCTTACCTATTGCCCCGGCAGCGCCGAGCCGCAAACTTTGTACGCCGCCTCTCGGGAGCTCCCGACCCGGGCTGCTGGGCAGAGGCAGGCGCAGGCAGCTCCCGCTCCTCCGCTCCGGCTGCCTCCCCTCCGCCTCCCTATTTATATCCATCTTCCAGCCGCCGGCGGTGCCCGCACTGTTTACAGCAGCTCCGCTGCTGGCTCCTCCCAGCTGGGGACGAGCCCTCCAGCCCAGAGGTATATCTGAGGCCGGCGCCGAGATGCTCGGGGGCCGGGGAGATCCCCGCTGCCCGCCCGCAGAGGTCGGCCCCGGCCCCGGGCTGTTGCGGGGGTCCCCCAGCTCCTGGGGGTCACAGCGGGTCTCTGCCCGGGGAGGGCTCTGGGGGCTCCGTGCAAGCCCGCAGAGCACCCGGCTGGGCTCAAAAGTGTGAAGTGTGGGGTTCAGGGGCTTAGAAACTGCCCTGGGAGGGGCAGGGGTTGAGGCACTGCACCCCCCATCTCTCCCTGCAGCCTCCTGGCACCTCAGAATGAATCAGGAAATGTCTCAGGTTGGAAGGGACCCTGAAGGTCATCTAGGTCCAAGCCCCCTGCCATAGATACCTTTCCACAGGGGTGTCCTGTGCCAGGCCATCCTGCAGCAGGTAGCTCTGAGAGCACCTGAATCTAGAGGCTGCAAACGTCCCCCCAGACAGTGTGGGGGGCAAAGAGGTATCTGCCACATCACCTCACCTCGCCTGACCAAGCTGTAGTCAGAGCCCGCAGCAAAAGAGACAAAAACCCTTCCCTCTAGAAGGTGCTCTGGCAGGACGCAGCTTCAAATAAATCTGTTTGCATTTATCCCCATGGACTAGGACTGTTCCTCGCCCTTATGGGCTCCAGGCTGGCCTCCAGTCTCCATGCACAGGGCACTGCCTGCAGGAGGACCACCACACACACTTTTGCTTTCCATGAACTAGAACACCACATTTTTTCCTAGGCTCTAGCATAACTGAGCTTCAGGGAACACATAAATACAGGTAACTGCTTATTGCAGCCACTGCCACCTCCTTCCCAGAGTTTAATCCCTCGTCTCTGCTCTGCTGCCCAGTGTCCAGCGGCAAGGACAAGCCAGAAGCAGGCGAGCAGCAGTGCCAGCCACTGCTCCCACCCAGGGCCAAAGCCAAAGAGGTGTGAAGCCACAGGTGCTGCTGATCTCAGCGACAGTTGTGTGCCATCATCTGGTCAAACCGTTCCAATCTGTCACCCCTGAAATTTATTCTGGTGCAGGATTTCTTCTGTCGGGGGGCACAAAGAGGCTATAGTTATGTTAATAAGGAGCGAGTGCTGTTAGACAAAATATGAGAACAGACTGGGAGCAGGGGGGTAGGCGAGGGGCATGGCCGTGCCCACGCTCCCGATGACAGCTCCAGAGCAGGAGCGGCACTCACTTGTGCTGAAGGAAACACATTTGCTCTCCTACACCCTGCTCTGGGACTCAGGGCGGTGCTGAATCAAGATAAGCATCCAGCCCAGAGAAACACATCCAGCCGATACTCCCTCATGACAACACTCCATAATACAGGGAAATGCTAGAGCTGCCACCTTTGCTACCGGCTGTTCATCTATCATGTATTGCTGGCACTTCTATTCCTGTTTCAAATAGCTTTTGGCATTTTCCGTCCAAAAAGCGGCATTAGTCAGTACTGTGCCTCCTTCTTATCTGAACATGACATGTATGAATATGGGTCATGGGAAAGCAGAGCAGCTATCAGAGGTATGGTAGGCTGTGCTCATTTTTAGGAGAAAGATTTATCTACTGGTGGGAGCCGCAGGCAGGACAAGACAAATAGGAGTGCTTTGTCTTAAAACACACCAGTTTCTCTGAATTCTGAGGTTCTAGAAGTGTAGAATTGGAGGTGGAAGAGAACTTGAACCTTTATTTTATAGCCTGTCAGTCCCCTAGAAACCTCATATATATTTACATAAAACATTTGCTCTGCAAAAGATTTCATAGACTTACAATGTAAATAAAAGATGACAAGGGTTAACCTAACCTAGTAACAGTGGAAATAAGTGTAGTACAGGCTTTGGGTAGTGCTAAATTTCAGGCAGGCCTTGCAAAACTATTAGCAAAGCCAAAAGTGACTCTATTTGACAAGGGCCTTTTTTTGAACAAGAACTCAAAATTTGTGTGGTGTGAGCACTGTTTAAATCCTTCAAAGCCATTTTCCCCCTGTAGTCTCAAAATCCACATAGCTGCACTGCTCTGTTATTTTTTGTTTGTTTGTTTTATAAGGCAAGAAAAATTCTTGGAGGCGAATTATTTCAGTATCATTTTCTTCTGCATTGTTTTCTCTGACTGAGGAGGAGAATTACAAAGCAAATGAGACTGGATGTATCATCTTGTTTTTCTGAAGAGTCCCGTCTCATTTTCAGGAAAGCACAGAAATGCTTGTTGTTATCTGTATTTTGGTGCATGCGAGCTAAAACCTTTTCCTTTCATTCCTTCCCAAGTTTCCTTTTTGTGGATGATTTTTGCTTTGCAGCAGTGCCAGGCCGAAGCTTACACAAGAGCGCTCCGTTACAGGGCACATCCTCAGCGCGAGCCCGTTCCCAAACATCCTCACACCTGCAAGTGGGAAATCATGACTAATCCTCACTGCCTCAAGCACTCTGCTGGGGTAGATCTTCCTTGAAAAAAAATAAAAATAAAAACCCTGAGCCTTCCTCTGAGTGTTGTTACAGATCTTCCTTGAAAAAAAAAAATAATCCTGAGCCCTCCTCTGAGTGTTGTTACTCTGGGTTATAAACTGAAGTTTATATTTCTAGCAAATAAAGTCGGTCGTCTTCCTCTGCCTTAACGGGCTGCCTGGTACGAGATCTCTGCCATCTCCTGTCTCGGCTTGCTCCGAAGGCAAACGCAGCCGGAGCCTTCCCTAACAAACCCCGGTGGCTGCCGAGGCTTTCAGGCGGTACGGAACAGAGAAGCTGCCCCCACGGCAGCCGCCCGGGGGTGCCCCGAGGGCCGGGGGAGCTCCTGCAGGGCTGCAGGGGATGGATCCTGCGCGGGGCTGCACCGCGGCCGGCCGGGCGGCGTCGCCCTTGCACAGCCCTGGCCGCCCAGCCTCGGACCGGGCCCCGGGCCTCTCAGGGCCTGGCCCCCTCAGGCCTTGTCCCCTCAGGCCTCTGTCCCTTCAGACATTGTCCCCCCCTCATGCCTCGACGCCCTCCGAGCCCCTGTCCCCTCAGGCCTCGATGACCCCCAGTCCTCAGCCCCCTCAGGTCCCGTCCCATCCTCCTGAGCACTCAGTGCCTGAAGGACGCAGGCTGCCACCTCCTACGTTACCCTTAATTAAACAAACGTTATCAATGAAGTTTTCCTGCTCCTCTTCCTGGCTGTATATTCTGCCATCTCTCACTTTATTTATTTTGTAATTCTTCCTAGATTTTATGTTTTTCCAAGCAACGCAGCCCCCTGACAGGTTTCCGCAGGCAGCCCCCAGCTCCGAGCGGGGCAGCGGGAGGCGTTGGCACAGCCGTGCCCTGGGGAGCCGTGGCAGCACACTCCTAATGCATTAGAGGTGATCTCTGAGGCAGAGATCAGCCTGGCAACCACACCAAGCCGGGTACAGCACTACCACAGCTCGGCTTTTAGCGCCGGTATCGATTCCCACAGACCAACACAGCTCACAACCAATCTATGGCTCATCGGCGGCGACTGCCCTCCACACGCCGCCCCAAAGGCTCCTCTTGTGCAGACTGTGGCTGCTGCCAGCCACCTCAGCACACACCTCCTGCCTCAGGCTGAGCACCTCAGCCCTCGTCATCGCTCAGCAAAGCACCAGGGCCTGCGCACCGAGCCTGGCTCCCACCTCAGCCCCATCGGCGTGACAGAATCCAACCCATCTCCTCCTTATGTACCTACCACTTTGCTCCACTTGGGGCTTTACGGGTGTTTTCCTTGCTTTCAGCATTTGCTTCTTGAGCAGAGCGAAGACCTTGGACTGCTGACTTTCGGAGAGCACTCCCATGTTCCTGAGCAGCTGAAGCATCCTGTGCAGCAGGAAAGGCTTCAGCTTGTGCTGTGCCAGCTTGAGAGGACTGACATGAATTTTGGGCAAGTTGACTTCCCGATCACAGTGATAAAATCGGAAGAGATTCCAGGCCAAGCTGGGTCCAAAGGTATCCATTAAAATATACCTGGAGAGTTTAAGGAGCATGTCACAGGACAACTGCTTTTCTTGTGATTTCTGGCCCAAGTTCTGGCTCAGCAAACTTCTGCTGTCCTTGTGACCGAGGGCAGAGCTGCTTCTGAGCAGGCTGGAGAGTTTGTGTGAGCCCACAGCCCCAGGAAGGGTTTTCTTACTGTGCAGCAGTCCTTTGTACTCCATATCCCACCAAGAACTGTTGGGATTCAGGCTATGCCCTGAAATAATTATAAATACAGCAAAACCTATTAAACAAACAGTGAAGAATCCTGGTGGGCTTCTTTCTTTTATACATAAATATGTACATAGACACGTTTATGAATATTTCACTGTATCCTTGGATACACTACAAATTGTTACACTACTTTGACAAACCAGCTGTGAGGTTCTACAGGTCAAATCCATAGAGAGATTTAGAAAAAGGCAGATTTGGGGGTACTAAAATGTGATAATTTTTTTTTTCTTTTTGGTGGTGGTTGTTGTTTTCTTTTAATTAAAATAATATTTTCCCTAAACATTATGGAAAATACCCTTATTAAACATATACACTCCAGAGTACACAAATTCCTTAAAAAAAAAAAAAAAAAAAAAAAAAGACCAAAACGGTATGTTCTATGGTATGTTCTACTCCATATAATTTTCTGAAAAACATTAAGAAAAAAAGTGATTCCTATTAAAGACTCTAATAGCCTTTTTCTTACATGACTAAGAAAGGAAAATTTACATTCCCACTGTGCCATTCCCATTTTGAGCCCAGCCCCAGGGCCTAGCACAGCCTCCAGGTTTCCCAGAGCTATAGGCTGGGTCTCAATTAAAGGCTCCATTCTGCTTCCCAGGTGCTCTCCCTGGTCTCCACCTGCTGATCAAAGCCATTATTACCCTGATGTAACGGGGTTAAGCTGGGGCTCAGAGGCCACAGCAGCCTCCTCCTGTAGATGAGGTACTGACTGCTACAGGAGACTCTCTGGAGCTTAAGTTTGTATCTAAGGCAGTGCTCCCTACGCAGCACTCCTTCATCCAGGCAGAGCCTGAAGGTTCAATTTACACCCTGAGAAACGATCAATAAAACAATTAAATTCAACATCGGTAGGCTGGGACTTCTTAAGTCGGACTGCAAACATCCTGGAAAGCTCTACTAATTAAAAGGGACAAGGAAGGCAAAACTTGGCTGCATCATGCCCGGAGTGTTTGAAATAGTTAATGGCTTAACATAAGGACATACTGCTAAATGCTGGAGGTCACGTCCTCGAGCCCTGGAATGTGCCTGCAGCGCTCGCTTTCATTTCTAAGCAGCGGACAAAATTTTTAAGAATGTTCTATTTCCTAGAGGTGGACCCCAGTCCAGCATGTCTTAGAAGCTTCAAATACTTTTTATTTGATTTCAAGATTGGAGTTAAGTAGTCGTGACTTACCATCCATCAGGTTAGTTGTGTATTGTAAACATATTAGTTAAATGTTCTGTATTACACAGGAATTTTATATAACAAACTGCACATTTATGGCTGTAATTCACTGAAAGATAACCCTGTATTACTTAGAAACTGCAAAATATGCCTGGTAGGACTATATGGCAGTGGATGATTCAGGAGTAGCATCACAAAAGTGGCACTTTGCATCTTCAGTGCATCTTTCATTCAGAGCAACCCACAGACACTGCAAGAACCCAACTCACACAACCCTGAGATCAATTTGGTTTATCGATAGACATGCTGAAGCAGGGGGCAGCTAACAGCTCATGCCAGCTCCTCAGAGGAACTAGGAGAGAGAGGACAGAGGCACCAGCTGGGTCCGTGTCACCCACCCGTCCCATGCAGAAGCACTGGGGCGAGTGGCTGTGCCGCACGGCTGCAACCTGCCTGGCACTGCCCTGGGACAAAGGGAAGGGCTCAGGGTCAGCCCAAGGCATCCCTCCTCAAGCATATCCAACAGCAAAGCGACCTGAAGCACAAGTTTCATTAAACCTCTAAGCAGGTCTGCAAAATTTCTAGGATAAACTGCTGCGCAAAGCATCACGTAGAGCGAGCACAACTTTGGGCTGACGGCTTGTCTTCAAAGACAGCCCTTACATTAAAAAAGGCCTGAGGAAGTAAAGAGGAAATGAATCAAGGGTCCATTGCACGTAGTCACCTCCAAAGCCATAATCAAACCGCGCCACCTATTAGCTGGAAACCGGTCTCAGCTTCCCTCCCACCAAGGGGCGGTGAGTCCAAGCAGCCGCGATCCCCCCGCTGCCCCCAGGCTCCAGCACGGAGCTCGCTGCCTTTCTGGCAGCCCCCAGGTGGGCTCTAACAAAATATTCCTCCTTCCTCCTCCTCCTCCTCCCCAGCACTGCCCACCCCACCGCCGGGCACCCGAGTAGGGACGGTCACCGTGTCTCTGCTGCCTGCGGACACCCGTCTCCTGCGCCTCTGGCCGTGCGCCCAGCACCAGCAGCACCAGCAGGATGAGGGCAGCGCTCCTCGGGGGGCTCCCTGCAACACAGACAGGGGGTTGGCCGCCCTCCTGGGGCTCCCCCCGGCCGCTGGTCCCCGCTCCCGGCGCCCCCTTACCCGGCCCCATGGCTGGAGGCGCAAGTCCCGCGGGTGCGCAGGGGCCGGCTGCGGGCAGCTCCATGCCGCGGGCAGCGCCGCCCGGCCCCGCTGCGAGCCCGCCTCCAGCCAGCGGGGGGGATTAATTTTTTTTTAATTTTTTTTTCTTGCTGGGGGCAAGAGTCAGCCGTGTCCGGAGCTGGCTCAAACGCTTCAACTTTTTTGGGGAGCAGGGGCTTTGGAAAAGAGAGGAAAAGCAGGTAATGCTGCAAGCACGGCGCGCACTGCTTGCTCCCCGGCCAGCCTGCAGGATGGCAGAGCTCAGCTGCACCCCCCTCACAGCCTGCCCTCCTGAAACCCCAAAGATGCACATGTACTTTTGGAAGAAGCAGAAAACAATGTAAAGTTAAGACCCTGAAGAGGTGAGGGTTTGGTTTTGTTTGTTTTGTGAGAGAGGCAGCATGCACGTTACTCTAACTTTCCGCAGAATTAATTTGGTTACTGCTGGAACCCTGCCACGAAACCAGGCACTGGGGAAACAAAGCAGCGCTCACTCTGATGCTCTGAGCTTGTCCTTTTCACTGTCATAATGAAGTTCTGAGACCCAAATATTACACATCTGAAATATGATGAAATTCACCCTGATTTAACCTAAGAATTACTGCAGGACTTTGAGAGCCATGAAGTAGGTAGGTTTGGAGCTTGACCTCGTTCCCAGCAGCAGCGTGCCCACCACCAAAGAGCTGTCCTACACTTAGTGTTGGGAGGACAAAATGACCGCAGTTGCAAAACAACAAATTTCAGAGCTAGCACAGATGGTGAATCCACAAAGAAGGGAGGTTGGATATGGAGAAGTTAGATTGATTTAAATAAGATCATTGATTTACATTCATGAGAACGGACCTAGGGAAAAAAGATTTGCCAGATGAGAACAATCAAGTAACCGCAGGAGGAGAGGGGACTGGTTTTCTATTTCTATATTTAGCATTACTTAGAAAAAGCAAATATGATACAGGATTTATAAATGAAGCGCACAATACTGAAATGAATTTACACTGAAGTGTAAATACAGGTTTGGGCATTCAGAAATCTGACAGGTCAGTGCCCTGAGCAGAGCTGCCACACGCTGCAGGAATGACAAAGAACTGGAGGAAAAAAAAAATGTAGCAGAAGCAACAAGGGTAACACATCTCTGTGTGAACAAATACAGGCTAAATTTATAACAGTTACATAAATTTTAAAAAGATGCGCAAACTCCTTCGAAAATGTCACCTTTAAAGTTGTAACAAATGTTTTCCTCGGGCTTTTTCAAGTACGAACGTTAGACAACTGCTGATTTAAGACCAGACGCTCCACAACTTACCTTCCTGAAAAGAAGCTGTACGTCAGGTACTGCTGCACTGTATAAACAAAGTTAGCAAGTCACACAGGAAAAACAGGGGAAAAAAGTTATTTACACTCTTGGAAGACCCATTGCATAACTTATCCAGGCATATACAGCCACTCTCACAGTGACACCTTGGTAGCTCTAAAATATGCATAACAAGTTCTTGTAAAGGCCCACATTATACATTTAAATGAGTGAATGTTAGCAGTTTGCTGGAACAAGCTACTTTTTTAGTCCAATCCAAAGTTTCTCTTTCATAACCCCACATCATCCCCTTTTCCACCACCTAAAACTTCTGTTCCAACCTTTTTTTTCTTTAAACAAATGGGGACCTGAAACCCACTGTCTTATAAACAGTTTCATGAGTTGGCCAGAGATTTTTTAACTAATAATTCTAATGCTGGCAGGCACTAGTACTATGAAATGCCTGGAACAGTGATACCTTGATACAGGGGATCACTTCAGCTAAAAGAGCATAAAGAAGCTCACTACTATTTGTTTTCCTTAAAGGACGTGCCAGGAAATTATATAAAAAAAAATCACAACTCATCCAAGAACTATTCAATGGGAACAGGGCTACAACAAAAATTGTTTAAGGAACCAAACAGGTCAACAGATAATTGAATTAAAAGGAAGTGAAAAGCCCAGTGAATCATTGATAAGTCATTAATTAACATTCTAATTAACAGTAAAATATTTGTATTAGTTCAATATAGACAAACGTTGCAGAGCAAAACACGCAATGCAGAAGCCAGAAATACAGGAAGGCGTCTGTGAGCACTACAGTTATGCAGAAATATGAACAAATAAAGGACAGTACAAGGGGAAATTCGCATACAGTCAGCACACTGAACTTGGGCTGCACATGCAGTGACCCTGGGACCAGTGTAACAATGTTGAATTCAGATTTGGGGATCTCAGTAACAGAGGAATACTGTCAAAAACAAAGCAGATTCAAGGACAAGTCACAAAATTAGTACTTCTTTAATTCCCACAGTCATAAAAGAAACAACAGGGAAGAGAATTTAAGTACCAGTTCCTTGAATCAAAAGGGGTCCTGAGGAGAACAACATTGTAGCCTGAAGTTTTCAGAGCAACCCAAAGTTCAATTGAGGTATCAAAACAACATTGCCCAGTAAGTAGAAATTCCCCAAGTCACTACGTGGGGAGGCTTACACTTGAAGAGCAACCTGGAGCACATCCCTATACCATGGCCATCAGCTTTGCTTCCACTGAGCTCAGCAAGAAACGAACACAAGTTCGTTTCTTCCTGAGAAACATGGAGAAAGCAACACACCCACCTTGGATTTACAAAGGTGCACAAATAAAAAACAGACAAATGAGATGTAATTGAATATTTACTTAAAATACAGGAAGAGAACAGCCGGGTACCCTGGTGCTTGGGGAATTTAAAACTGACTGGACAGCACAGGTGCAAGCACCCAGGGTAACAAGCCAAATGATGTGCAGAAGTGACAGGTGTCCTCATTTCTCCCCTACTCCCCACACCACTACAAACAAAAACACCCTTCCCCCTCCCCCCTTTTACAGTAATAGGGCCAAGCCAATAGCCAAAGACACCAGACACACTTGCAGTGCTGACAATTAACTGCAGGCCTGTTGCAAGGTCTCATGACAACGATGCTCAGACATTTCTTCTCAGCCGTGACTCATGTATTTTTGTTATTTAAAAAACAGCTGGACGTAATTTAAAAATAATCTTTTAAAGATTTGATCTACATACCATACTATGTGGAAATGAGGCTTTCTACTTTAGGATAGCTTTTCCTTGGAAAAAAAAAGGAATTAAGTAATGACATTTAAGTACATTTTGTTCTTTTTTTTTCTTTGTATGAAAATAAGATTCAAAAAATGCAGCAAGATCTAATCCATGCATCCTTTATTCCATTACAACCACTGTGTTGCATTCTAGCAACAGGACACAAACTGCAATCAATCGTGATCAATTTATACAACAATCTGAGGCTTACAGTACATTTAAGGCCTTTAAATTTGGAAAAATTAGACCTATGCTAGTAGTGTAACAATTACATGTTTTGCATTTCTGATGCATAATCTGTGCGATTCCAGTGTCAAAGAATCAAATTACTCCTAAACTAAAAAGATCAGCTCAATGAAAATTTAGTTACATAAATTCATCAAAACATAAATGTGTAAATTTTTTGTCCTGGAAACTTTATAAAACTTTAATAGCAAAATAATATAGGGATAAAAACATATTTTAACAAAATGTATTCAATCATATACAAACCAGAATTTTGCAGTTTATTGTAGCTAGACTTAAATTAAAACTACCAATTAAGAATCTATGCACAATGTAAATTCAAATATGTACAGTACTTTTAAAAAGTCTACAGGAATGCTTTACAGAAGGAAATGTCTGTTATGGCTATTATTCAGACCATCTGAATATTAAAATGAGTTTTCTAGTAGTAAATTTACACATTTATTTTTAAACAAAAGCAATTTTGTCCATAGTTCCTTTGAGAATATTCCAGTTATGTTTATACAAGGTAATGGAGAAGTCATTACAGAGTTTAGCCCCATATAGTAGTTCGTTTATTATCAGGAAAAAGTATATTTAAATAATTTACTTGGGAAGATCAGTAAGTTAACAAAAGAACACTAAAAGGGAGGAGGAGGAACTTCATCACAATAACTTTCCAGTTACAATACCACAGCTAGAAACTTTACAAAGAAAGTACTCCCTTAGATTGAACCCATGGCTGATTGTTTAGAAGAAGCTGTAGCTCATAACAGTTATGTTCTACACACTGAGAACATTGAAAAAAAAAGTCTTTGTAGGACAGAACTATAAACGATCAGAAGTGAGACAGAGAAAACTGATCTTCAATGAATACAGCACTAGGTAAAAAGTGTCCCCATAAGCAGCTAGTATTCCCCACTTCCTTCAGGGCAATGAAGCTAAAAATTGTTGGAATTACAGTAGTTGACCATATTGTGTGCATTAGTAGAATAGTTTCCAGATATAAAAGACAAATTTCATCAGATGTTTGATTAGAACACCCTAAATACAGGGCATTTCTTCATAGTATAAAGCTATTACAGCTATCCAGTTAAAGCATGTGCAAAAACAGGTAATTTCTTCCATTCACAGTAACTGAGGTAAAATCAGGTAGGCTTCTTCAGGAGTTGGGAAGTTCATGAGATATGAACTGTTTTAGTCTCTCTAAGTACTGTGCATAAAGCTCTATGTCATTATGCCCAGCCCCTTCCACCCAGAGGGGCTCTACTGCTCGTGGACATCGCTCGTACATTGCCAGGCCGTGGGAGAAATCGATCACCTCGTCTTCGGTACCATGGATTACCAACACAGGAGAGGTTACCTTAGATATCTTGTCAATGCTGGGGGATAGAAAAGGAAAACAGTGCTCAGTTTGTGGCTTTAATTTTCACACATTTAAAGAAAGCTAGCTTAACTACTGGTACACACCCTGCTTGCCACTGTATGCTTTAAATGGCTACAAAACCTTGAAAATGGGAACAAACGATATGGAACAAAGCTTACTCCCAAAATGCATGTGCAAACTGCAACCTTGCTACCATTACGCCGCCAGTTCTGATGGCACGAGGCTCAAATGGGCAGCAGCGCAAATAAAGTTTGGCACCTGAAACACCAGCCAGTGGCGTACCTATCAAAGAAGCCACTGCAGAAAGCTGGTGTATGGCAAATCAGATTCTATGAGACATGTTACCACTGTGGACTCTTTGTATTACACATTATCACCTTCCCATGTAGCA